GGGTGGGGGAATGCCTACCATTCGTATGCTCCTAATTTATGAGACTTCTCACCCTCGAGTACTCGAGTTCCGCACATACTCCTCACATTCTCGCCTTCTCACTCACTCTCAACTCTAGTAATCCTACAAACATACTCCCAACACTCCACTCATTCATACTCACCCTCAAGTAATCTACTCTCTTATAGTACCTCTCACACTCACCCTCATCTTCAAATACTCCACTCCCACACCCGCTCTTGATTCTGCTCCTCTCACTCACTCACTTTCACCCTCAAAAAATCAAAACGCAAGCTAGTGCTTGCGCTTACATTTTTTGGACCTCATCGAAGACAACTGAGTGGCGCGCAACTTGCGCGGGAGTGACGGCGAAGAAGATCGCCGCCGCAACAGCAGCCAGCGCAGTGGCTGCCTTTGCAGCGGGGAGCTTCCTCGCCGTCACTCCCTCTGCAAATTGCGGCAGTTAGTCAGTAGCAGCAACTCAGACACTGGGATCGGGCGAGCCGCGGCCTCAAAAGGCCTTTCCGGTCCGTCCGCGGCCTTAATCTGTGGGCGTGGCCGAAGTGCGGCCGAGCCGCGGACCTTAATTCATGTAGTATCATTGCACCGGCCGAACCGCGGACTGAATATGGCTTACCGGCTCAGCCGCGGCCTTAATGATGGGGGTGGTGCATTGCAACGGCTAAGCCGCGGACCAAAATCCCTATGATGAAACTCCGGCCGAGCCGCGGCCCATGTCAGATAAAGTCCGCGGCTCGGCCGCTCCCAGTACCTGAGCATAAAGAATAATTGCGTGATGTACGACGCATGGTCAGGCTGCCCTCAGTGTCCATAGCCTTAGATGTCTTTCCAGTCTCCAAGGCGGGAACAAGATCAATACGTTGTACAACCTTGGATAACATACTGTGTTATCCAATCTCGAAGTCGGACCTGGTTTCCGAAGCCGCTATATCGGTGGCTTCAATTTTTGTCTTTTTTACAGCGTATATTTTGTGTGCCAATGAATAAAAAAACAATTCTACTGTATCCGAGCTAGAATGAACTAGACGGCCCGACAACCAGCTCCGGCTGAGCCGAGGCCCACAATCGGCTGAGCCGCGGCCCATCTCTGGCCGGGCCGCGGACGCTGCGAAATTCCAGCCGGAAAAGGTCCGCGGCTCGGCCGCTCCCAGTGTCTGAGAATTCGCTTTTCCAATTACAGTAGCAAGTTGCTCGCAGTTAGTCATCTCTGGAACTTTTGCAAAGCAACCCGAAAGGGCAAAAATTGGATGGGGTAAGTGGGCAAAACGTGTTGCAAAGAACATCGTTTTTCCATAAAAGTTTGCATCAACTTATATACATAGATACTGTCATCAATTCAAAAATTCAACAACTTTTCCATTGTGTTTGACAACGATGCGCACGAATAACTGTCGTGCGAACAGACTGTGCATGTGATCATTAACACGCTTTCCAATTTCTGTTATTCGGCGACCACCCTACAAGCGACAGGAAATGTGGGATTAGATATGAATCTACAAATCACAAACCTTGCCAATGAGCAGCCGTCCAATGCGCTCTTTATTGCAACTGATTTCTACAAGGATTTGTAGCACCTGAACTCATATAAATTCGGAGTGGGAAAAAATAATCTTGACATACCTCGCCATCGACTTTCCATTCAGTTATCTTGGGTTTAAGCTGGTAAGCAACATTGGAAGGAGTGGTATCGAGAAGAGCAGCACGAACGGAATCAACACAAATTTGTTGTGGATTCTACAATTTGCCCTGGCTTGTGAAGATGAAGTAAAAAGCTCATAAGCATTTGTATTCAGTGACAATTTGGTGGTAACTTTGCTTACCCTAGAAGTGACGGCCATTTCATCCATCCTCCAGTTTCTGTCGAAAGACAATTTCTTCAGATGCTCGCGCAACGGCTCAATACCCTCACCGGTCAGTGAAGATACTGAAAGTAGCTCTAATCAAATGAGAGATAGACCCAAGCAAAAAGAAAAACTACTTAAGCACTCACCGAAAAACACAGCATCAAAGTTGCTCCAACCTCGTATATTGATAAATAGTCGCTTTGTTTCAGCAAAACTCACTTTGTGGGTGGGTTTGGCTATCAGTTTCCTGAAATAATGGATAACAAAGTACAGTATTTTCCTAGAAGGTCCACACCTGAATTGCTCCTGCCAGATTTCATCCTGAGACATTATCGCATCATCATGCAATGGTAAAGCACTTGACGCAGCTCCCAACCTACCAATCTGAAATAAACTTCGAAGAGGCATAGATAAAGAAAATTATGGATACAAAGTCAAAACACACGCACTGAAGTGTATCGCACATCAACACATATGCCCACAAGACATCTAATTTATTGAAATATTGTGACTCAAATGGCTATTTTATTTCGGCCGTGCTCACCGTTGTTGCCGGCGTTCACCTCTCCATTGTTACCACGTAACCGCTGTTGGTAGCATAGTCATTGAAACTTTTATGCCTTAGCTCCCAATGATCGGGCTTGATCTTTTGCATTCGTGGCCTAACGATAATGTTTGGCTTTTTGATACCTTCTTGATGAAGAGATTCACGCACCGGCGCGAATGGAAAAACTCGACGCATGATTATTCATTTACTCATTCATTCAGAGCAAAAAATCGGTAATAAAGGCAAAACGCTTGACGCAACAGTTTGCGGAATTTGCAAAATGATACCATACCATCTAGAAATAGTAAAACACGATGAAAGTAATGCAAAAACTCACCACTTTCACATCCGTCTTGATAGGTACTCCACCGACTCGCCCATTCGTAAGTATGCGAGTGAGTTCAAGCAAATCGCTACGTTGTGACACAAGATCGACTTTGTTGATCACAAGCGATGAAGGTATATGCGAATGCCGATGAAGCAAATGCATTACGCGATGATGTATGTAATCTCCTGGAGCTGTGGCGTCCTGAAAGACAGTTTCAACACTTGAAACCAAACAACCGTATTACTACCTGTACAACAAGAACGTGCTCAGCTCGCTGGAGCGCTGTTTCTGGACCGGTAAGGATGCTATCATCTTGGCTGCGACCCATGGTTGCTTTGACATGCTGCAATCCTATAGTTCCTGGACTATCGCAAACTACGAGCTGTACGTTGTTTTCTGTGATTACCGCCTCGACATTCTGAAAGGATGTGCCATTAAAAAAATGTATGAACAACAACTGGTTGTATAGCAGGTAGTGCATGACGTGAGTAAACAGAATTCGTCGCCGGTACCACCTTCTTGAGGATTCGAACGTTATTCGGAACAGAAACGTTGAGAACCACTACACTCACATGCGACATTACGGGATCGTTCAGACCGCGCACAAAGGCGCATGAAGGCGCACGAAGGCGCACAAAGGCGCACGAAGGCGCACAAAGGCGCACGAAGGCGCATGAAGGCGCATGAAGGCGTGTGTGTGTGTGTGTGTGTGTGTGTGTGTGTGTGTGTGTGTGTGTGTCGAGAAAAACGAGACGAGACAAGACTCGCAATCGTGCGCCTTTGTGCGCGGTCTGAACGACCCCTTCTATTCGGTCAAGGTGATTGACCATTCTCAGAGCCGTTCTCGGAACGATGGATTTGGAGATTGGGGCTACATGTGTCTCAGTGACACTGTAGCAGCTCCAGCGCCTTACGTTTCTGCAACCGCCTCACTCGACATTGCTCGCATTCGCGGGCGTATCCTTCGCGGACTTGTCTACGCCTGAGGGACCCGTCATACTTCGCCGAAAAAAGCCCAAAAGCGCTCAAAAAAGCCCAAAAAAGCCCGAAAAAGCCCAAAAAAGCCCGAAAAAGCCCAAAAGCGCCCAAAAAAGCCCGAAAAAGCCCAAAAAAGCCCAAAAGCGCCCAAAAAAGCCCGAAAAAGCCCAAAAAAGCCCGAAAGCGCCAGAAAGAGCCGGAATGTAGAAACGAACTTTTGGTAGAATTCTGACATTATCTTATCATGCGGACGACAGAAAATGACAAAAAGGCTCGATTGCGAAGTCAACACACATGCTTTAGCGCCAAAACGTGCGAGAAGTGTTCCGGCTCTTTCTGGCGCTTTTGGGCTTTTTCGGGCTTTTTTGGGCTTTTTCGGGCTTTTTTGGGCTTTTTCGGGCTTTTTTGGGCTTTTTTGGGCTTTTTCGGGCTTTTTTCGGCGAAGTATGACGGGTCCCTGAGGGTTGGGCCAGACTGTGCGGCGTACGCGTCGCACGCAGCGTTCCACACATTGCTCAAAGATATGGGGTTTACTCTGCGTATGTCGTGTACGCCGTGCAGTCTGGCCAGACCCTAAGAAGGATGCCGCGAGGATACGAGTCGCTGCCTCGCAAAGTAGCTAAATCTCCCTGACAAGTAGGAACAAATGCCGCATTGTGAAAAATAAGTATCACAGTAACAAAGACACTCTCGTACTCGACATAATGTAGATATACCTGAGTAGTTGTATCCATTTTGCTGCTTACGGATGAAACAGCGGCACGAACGAGCTGGTTCGTCAACAGTGATTTTCCAACATTTGGTGCACCAATAACAGCAACTTCAAGAGCACGCTGAACAAATCACTGAGTAGGCAAAAGCCAGGATGCAAAGAGAAATAATTCTACAACAAACATAATAGGCTTACGGCTAAGCAGTGATCAGCTGCACTTGTCGACGCATGAAATGAGCATGTCAAAAGACTGATTTTTTGTGACAAGTTTCGAAGCAGATGATTCATGCTCATTTCTGAAAGTTCAGCTTTACAGAAAACTTTACAAAGTACAAAAGTCAAACCAAAAGAAAATCAATTGTAAACGTCTGAATGATGTTGACTGTGCAGCCGCGCCTGCGAGCGCGAAGGGAAATAAATTTTGACGTAAACGCTCGTTTTTCGTCATTTAGCACGCTTTTGAGCTCGTAGATTCCATTTCGCTAGGAAGTTTCATGTTGTATTAAGCGGCTAACTATGTAAATTCGATTCGCTCCTTGCTTTCTTGTAAATCGTGGATGATGAAGTTTTGTTTTGGATGCCTATAGAGAATGATAACCTGGAAGGAGTTGCTGATCAAGCGCTGCTTCTCCTCAATCAGATGAAGCGAAATCCAGATGTGATGCCGCCGTATAACGTAAGTTTGAGCACTTGATTGCGTGAGATCTTCTGATCATACTGTCAGGAAGACGCCATGCATGCATGCATTGCCAAAATGAACGAGCTTTATAATCTGAATAACGAATGTGTGTAAGTCATTTTCCCCTTCATTTCAAGTCTCATAGATGTTCTGTTGCAGTATCCTGTATGGTTTTCAGGACACGACTGCGATCACAAGGAGAAAAGGCGAGCCGTGAACTCGAAGCACTAATAGTCTGTCGTGATGAAGCTCTTCAACATATACGTGTAGGTCTCCGAGCTTCTATAATGTGTTTCAGTTATGTCTTGTGGCTTTCAAAGTATCGCTGAGGTGTTTTTTTACTGAAAACTTCGTGAATTTGCAACGCTGACCTTGTTTTAGTTCGATTAACTATAGACACTTTTAGAGATGCTGCTTAGCTTACATTCACGCTCGAGCTGAAAGGATACGATCGTATCGTTGGCGTTTAGGAGGAGTACTTCCTGCGTCTATAAAGGTGAGTTGATACACATCGTTCGCATTCGTACATTTAAATCCCTTTTTTGCAGAATAACTTGTGCGAAGCAGAGATTGACTTTTTCAATGAGTACAGCAGCAGTCTGGCTGAATTTCAAGCAAGCATTGGCGAGAACGGTGTCAATCTTTTGCTGAGTACTCATCCGCCGAAGGCACTTTATGTGCAGGTTCTTTTTAATTCATAATCTTTCCTTTTTTTTCTTTACAATTTCGTATTCAAGATTGTTTATCATTAGTATATGTTTTGTGTCAACTTACCGGGTGATCATTCAAGTCTGTCGTTTCTACAAGTGTCCGCTAGAACATACTTCAGTCAAGCCTAAAAATTGAAATTACAGACCTATCTTCTACTGGTCCCCTAATTTTCCCACGTTTCACACTGCTTCACTCCTCTCAATGGAAACGGGTCGCCCCCCCCCCCTCGACATTCATAGGGCTTGATTATCTGGGATATGTGGGCGAGGGTCGAGGCGGACGTTACATTATTTACCACACTGCCATTCGATTGCATAAATTTTATGAAGGAGAATGGAGCTAATTCTATTTATCTTGCGTTAGTTGTAATTTGATGAATTCATAAACTTTTAGTGCTGAACATCACCGGTTCTCAAAGTCTTATTAGCGATCTGAAGGAAGAATAAGACAAAAGAGTTTTTGGCTAGTATCACTGCAGCGATTTGAGTACCTCACTCTTTTTATGGGCTTATCGATTACTTTTTTTATCTTGCCTTAAGTTACTGTCGCATCTGCGATTTCACTCGACCTTCACGTCTGCCGAGCGTCATGTGACACCTTCACCTCCAACAAAATAAATCAAAGTTTAATGGGTTCACTCTTTGCTGTCTATCTCAGAGTTGTGCAGATAAAATGAAACATTTCTGGGAAGGTAGTAAATATTTCGATCATGGGCGCTGTAGCCTTGGCTAGTTGACCAGTCCCTCGTACACAGCTGATGTACTTCTCAAAAGAAGCTCTCTGTTTTCCTAATTTTTGCATAAGCGAAGATGTGGTGACGAGCAGGGTCAAGCGTGGGATGTGGCACGCAACACCTGGGAGATCGTAGAGAGGTCAGGAAGAGGGGGAGGGTCATTATCGAGGTGATAGTGATGTTAGCGACATTATCTCATTCAACAAGCCTGATAGGCCCATTGTACAAAATAACAGCACTGACATTTAGGCTTACCGTCATACACGCACAGTAAGCATATTAAAATCCTGAAAGCATAAGGCAGGCGCTATACTCCTCGAGGAGTATAGCATGGCGACGGGCGATCGCCCGTCGCTAATCGATGCGTATCAAACGTGTAGTCGCCGATATTGGCGATCATTACCCATTTCCCACTTCCCTTTCAAAGTACTCACCAGCCGGTGAGGTAGCCCTAGAAAGAATGAACTGCAAGACCAGTGATTTTCATATTCAACACTTAACGGTAACTTGTTTGGCGAATGGCGATCGCCAGTCGTAGCGACTGGCGATCGCCAATATCGGCGACAAAAATCGCTGGTTTTACACGTATTTGATGCATATCGATCGTCGCCATGCTATACTCCTCGAGGAGTATAGCACCTGCCTAAGAGCACCATTTTCGTATTAGCATGTAAAATAACTCCTGAGGGCCAAGTTTCAGCGAATTTTGAGGTTTCCGAATATTGGAACATTCAGGTGAGTGCGACATGCTAACTTCGTTTCAAGGTGAGTGAACTACTTCTTTTTGCACTCATTACAAGTACTACTACTTCTTTGTTCGTATTAGGAATCCCACTTTGACTAATCTCCAAACTCTAGAATTAAGAGCAAGCCAAAATCTCGTTTGTGCCATATTTCGCTTTCAATTTCTCAGACTAGAGAAGACCAATCAGGCTCAAATCACTCTTGTGGAAGTCACGAGAATCAGACTATTGAATATACTTGTTATTTCCGCCTTCCCCTTCCCTCGCGATTCACGTAGTATCGCAGACTTAGCACACTACTGTAATCCAATATTTTCGCGCTGTTTCGATTTGCTTAGGTTAGGAAAAACGACTATATCTTCCTAAGAGAAACAATTTTGAACGAAATTCCTGCTATGTGGAGAAGAAGGTATAGCAGTAGCAACCATATAAAAAAGACAGAGTTTTGATTGCTTTGGAGGTAAGTTAATGGGGTGTGCCACACCCCATTAACTTGCCTCCAAAAACAATTTTAGCGAACAAAATACATATAGTTTGATAGCGTGAGTCTTGTAGTTTTCATAGGGCTAATTTGGGCCTGATTCATCTTCTTCGCTTTGAGTAAAAGCTGGTGAAAGCGCTTCCATTGGAAGCGAAAAATGGGACAAACGAGATTTTCCTGCTTCTGATTCCATAGTTTGAGGGCTATTCAAAGCAGGATTCATGGTATGGGAAAATAGCGGGTAGTGCTTTGTATCAGGTACAAAAAGAGTTATATAATTCACTTTTTGTTCACTTCACTTGGGTGGTCCAATGTTGGGAATCCTTAGAATTTGCTAAAACTTGGCCCATGGTATATGTGCCTAATTATGCATGGTAGAGCCTTTATGTCATGCCTATGGAAAAGAAAATGGGGGGGGGGGGGGTACACCTCTTGCAAGTCAGGGTAGTCATTTTGATAATGTTATGAATGCTGAAACTAAAACATCTTGAAATTTTGTATGCTTATATTTGCAATAGTAAAGTCATCAGATTTGGGGGAGTGCATGAGTCTTCCTCCCTCTCGATCGGGCTCGATGTCTGATCGATTTTTGGTACAAGGACATAATCCATAGTCGCTGCATTTTTGACTTGATTGCGAAGTTTAGATTGATCGAGTGATCTACAAGATGAATGGAGTCAACTTTCTTAACAGAACTGTTGTGTGAGAGCGCGACATGCACAGTTTAGTACACACCACACTTCCACAAAAACAAGAATATGAAACTCAATCACCGAGTGTCTGTTCACTAGAAGATATCTCTCTCTGAGCACTGTCTGATCTGAGCAATTCATTCGTGTAATTTTGTTTCACAATATATTGCGTTTTGCAGGTACGCGTTCTTGAAAACTACGGAGAATTTGAAACTTCAGACGGAAACCTGGTCATGTTGCAAGTAAACTCTACGGTGAGTAGCCTGTGGATATAAGGTTGTATTTTCACGACTTTTCTTTTAGCACTCATTACCACGACATGATTGTGAAATGTTGATTAGGCAAGGGATTCTGGAGATCGCCAACTAGCAAAGTGCCGGTATCACGTTGTGTCCAAAGATCTTCCGGATAGCGCCGTATCATGTGATTCTCTCTGTACGCTTCTCAGGCGTAAATATTAGTTTCCAATTCAGCATATAGATCATAGATGAGTTGCAGAAATTGATACCCGTTTGATGTGTGGAACTTCGCTACGCTCTGGAAATAAAATTAATTGTAGTCATTATTATCAAGTGCTATAGCTTACTTTCTGCGGCAGTTGGTTGTGTTTGTGCACCTTGTGCGACAATCTGGTGCCGTTGATTTGACGTAGTAGAACTGCGGCGGTGGTCAGCTGTTCCTACAGAGGATCTAAAAGTTGATTAGTCAAGCTTGCATCTTCAGTTTGATTGTAAAAGTTTGCAGGTCGTTTGTAGTTTGCACATCAGCTTGTGACATTCATCTGTCTTGCTCAAGAAAGGGTGTGGATGTATGCGAGGAGTTGCGATATTTTTTGTTGGAATTCACCTTAAGGTCGCAGATTAGTCAATATCTCCAAATACTAGACTAGTCAGTGAAAATCTATTGAGCACAACAGAGGTGAACAATAGAGGTGAGAAAACTGAATCGATGTACCTGTTCTGCTTGCGATGCATGTCAGCGAATGTGGCTTGAGCAATTTCGAACCCATTCATTATACTGGTTTTTCTTGGGGGGGGGGGGGGGGGGGGGGAAGGGGAACTCATGATTATTTGAAACTAGCTGGCTTACCCGGCTCCGCCGTATCCGGACCAAACTTGGCACACATACACTTCGGGCCCCGGCGGGTGTCACAGTCCACTTTTCGTTATCGATCGATGTCGATTTTACCGATTTTTACCGATTTTTTTGCAGAGTTCACCTACAGGGCTAGGAGTTGGCACAGGGGGGGGGGGGGAAGTGAGCATGGGGATTCCGAATACAATATTAGTTTTCAGAATTATCGATTACTTTTATCGATTTTATCGATTTTTTGAAAATTTGAGCTAGGGGGCTGGAATTTGGCACAGGGGTGTAATCGAGCATGCTGATCACCCCCCTTGGGAATGATCAGCATGCTCGATTACCCCCCTGTGCAAAATCCAAGCCTCGCATGTCAAAATTTACAAAAAATCGATAAAATCAATAAAAGTAATCGATAATCCTGAAAACCAATATTGTATTCGGAATCCCCATGCTCGATTACCCCCCTGTGCCAACTCCCAACCCCGTAGGTGAACTCAGCAAAAAATCGATGAAAAGCGATAAAATCGATATCGATCGATGACGAAAAGTGGCCTATGACACCCGCCGGGGCCCGTAGCGTATGTGTGCCAAGTTTGGTCCGGATCGTTTCAGAAAACATACGTACATACAGACATACATACATACAGACAAACAGACATTCAGCTTTATATATAAGATTTGCTTGAGGTTCTATTGATTCAAAAAAGGTCCATTACACTACGTCTAGGCGTTTAAAGGCAGTGTCCGGGCAAAAACTTTGTTTTTGAGATTTTGTGCTTATACGGGCTTATTCGCCACGCTGGATCCGAAAATCCACATGGGAAAGCGCGAAAACGGCAAAAAAGGGATCTAGCGCAGGAGGGAAACAGCAAGTGGGCGGGTTCCTCCCACTGTGAATTCACTCTACCAACTTCCGGTCTTCGAGTCCGCTAGCCGCCCTAACATCGCTACGGCCAAGTGCGAATGAGTGACTTGAAACTGGAAGCGAGAAGATCGCTACGGAAGCTGGGAGCGTGAGTTCGGAGGGGGAGGACCCCGCCCACCTGCTGATTTCTCTCCTGCGTTAGAGCCGTTTATCGCCTTTTTGGCGCTCTCCAATATTTTTCGGATTCAGCGTAGCGAATAGGCCCGGGTAAGCACAAAATCTCAAAATCGAGTTGCCCGGACACTGCCTTTGAGGTAGAGGCAGCGCGCAGTATGATCACACGACTGCGCGCGAGCTGTTTCTATTCTTTGCATCATTTGCGTATCACGTATAGTTCATTCGTTGACCGCATGGACTGGGCATCACTACGGAGCACGCGCCGCGAGGTAGAACGCTTGCTCCAGTACAAATTCGCCATTGTATATCCGCAGGGTTTGAGCAGTCCGTGCGGTCAACGAATCAACGGTACATCCTCGCTGGGGAGGGGGTGGAGGATTTGGAAAGGAAAGCGTCATATCACTACTTTAAATATCCGTATTCTTCTTTTTCTGTCTTCAGAAGTTCTTGTACCTTGATGCTTGAGTTCAACGGATGACCGCCTTGTTTCCAAGGTCGTCCTTCTTAGGAACTCGATGGAAACGTCTATTGTACTGAGGATCTACTATGACACTACTTTGAATGCGATGGATAAATAATTGAAAGAATCCATTACACTGTAAGCATGTCGACGCATGCTTCTTCGTCGGACGATGACTTATATGTTTAGGGGCGTGACGATGACGGTCAAGCGATGCTCTCGAGGAGTTGCTCCGATGCTCGGTCGCCGAGTGGACTTTTGTATCACCTCTCCTCGTAACCTCTTTGGGCCGTCGCCGTACCACCAGTGCTCATGCTGATCTCAACTATATGATCTCCTTATTCGTTGTGCCTATTGTTCGTATTCCGATATTGCTCATTAACCATTGATCTTGCTCATTAATGATACACATATCGTTATCGCTATAACAGATAAATCATATAAGTTCGGATCAGTGTTTCTACCGGTATGTCAGCACGTCTCCGCGGCGCTACGCTTACTGGTAGCAGCGAGTGGTTCCGCCGAGAGGAGAACAGGTGAGTGGTGAAATCATGAATAAAGCCCTGATGGGCCTCCACCGGTGACTTGGCAGCTCGACGTCTGAGAGAAGTTTATCGTGACTGTTTTTGACAATTTTTCAAGGGCTTCCAACTTTTTTTCCGTAACGCTGGTACGGAAACTTGTGTGCCGAATTTTTTTGAAACCAAAATGCCAAGCCACGACTCTCTTTTCTTAGACGTGATTTCCGCGGTTCCCAGCAGTTTTATGCTGGTAGGTAGTGTACACACCTGATGGTGGACGTCCAGTGGAAAATAGAACGCCAAGAAAATGTTGAACCCAGCGCTTTGAATTGAATTTTGTGAGTGTTATGAGATGTTCTCCCGGCCGGTCGAGTTGAGTTGAGGTGCGGACCGATGTTTTACAATTGTATGGTGTTGTTGGCTCAGGCGTTCGCCCCCTAATTAGTAGTTGCGCGCAGGTGAGTTGAGCTGGGTGGTAATAGTGGTTGTTTGTCCGCACGGTACTTTCAGCAGTTTTATGCTGATTATCAGATTGCTCCAGCGTAGGGCTAATGAGATTCCTCAGCTAAGTCTGAGTGTAGTTGATGTTTAGCGATCGATCGCAGTTTCCTTTACCTTGTAGGGCACATCTGGCGACCTAACTTGGAGTATCGTTTCTGACGCAGCAGACAGGCCAGATGGCAGGCTCATAATGCCATTAGTCTGAATACCAGAACTTCCCGAGAGCGGTTGCTTCCTCTATATTCCTCTGATATTAGATTTTACTCTGTGTTATGGTGTCCCTATTTCTCTCTGAGTGTACCAGTTTAGCAAGTTCATTTCCTTTGATGCGTGTTTCGCACACAGCTAGTGATACCATGAAATTTTGAGTTGTGAGCTGAAGACTCAGTTCCGAGCGCTTCCTTTGTCTCGGGAAAAGCTTTTGAAATTGAAAACGAACGCAGTGGCGCAATTTCGCTTTTGTAATTTCTCATGCTCAAACTTCGCAATCTTCTTTGTGCGCAACTCTATTCAAACGTTTCATTCCTTTTACACTCGACCTCGTCAGTTGAAGTTACGCGTAGCATGTATTCGGGCCTTCCTTTGAAACTCAAAGCTTCTCGTTCATTTCCCAGCTTAGTTTTTTACCAATTACACCACGAGAATTCTGAACTTTCAAATAAGAGATTTATCATTGCATTTGGGTTTCTTCTCATGGATTCAATTTTCTTTGGTGGATCAGATACAGTAAGACTGTAAGCAAAGATGTTTCCGAAGGAAAAGGTCGCGGCCGCGTACTTTCTCATGACGAGATCGAAAACATAGATAGCGAAGCTGAGAAAATGCCACAAAGCGGAAAAGCTTGAACTTTTTGCTTGTTTCTCATTACACCGAGATTGCGAGAACAGATATGGCAAAGAAATGCAGTAAATATAAAGTTCATGAGATTTTCTGTGTTCATTTCTTTCATTCCTTGAGATGGGAAACATAGATAAGGGTCTGAGGAAATACCAAACAGTTTTGAATATTCTACTTAAGGGTACCGTACTAGCCACGCCCACTCCTGAGACCGACAGCGTGCCTCACTCGTCACTCATCGCTCATTTGCGTAGCTTCCTCTTCCTTTCATTTGATATTGTGATGCTATTGTCTATCCTCTCATTGATCTTATTATAAGGAAGCTCTAGTATGGTGATGCCTCTACCATTGAACCTGGGTGACTCGTTCTTTTTTTAGTTATGGTACCGGTACCGGTAACGCGTTCTAAGGCGGTTGTGGAGCAATCCACAGTGGCTGATGCCACTCCACCAGTGAGTACTGAGACAGTGACGGCACCCTTAGCGAAGGTGTTGGTCAATCTGGACGATGCCTCGACGGTCCACGGACGAGACGCAAAGGAGCTCAAAGAAGCTACAACTGAGGCCCTCATCAACGTATGGAAGGACGCGAAGAAAGCGACGGCACAACTAGCTGAACAGGTTAATCAAGGTAACTCTAACCTGCTTGATGGACTTAATGGTTCATTTGCCGCAATTGGTTCACGTATCGAACAGATTCCTTTGGTAGCTACCTGTTGCCCTGATGGGCTCCCCTCCCGTGTCATGCCGTTTACCGGCACCTCCAGTTCGCAACCCTTTTCGCTCTGGCTGCGCCGTCTGGAGGATTCGATGCGGCTTCGCAAGATCCTAACTTCTGAGGACAAAGCCAATTATCTGGTAGCTCATTTGGAATCGGTGGCAAGGGAGCGAGTCGAGACCCTATCGGCAGAAGACAAGGTAAATTACGAAGCTTTAGTTGATCATCTCAGGACACACTACGAGGGCCCGAAGCAGAAAGCCGAAGCAAGGCAAGCCTTAACCACATGCCGTCAGGAAAGAGGTGAGTCTAGTTCAGCCTTTGCCTTTCGTTTATTAAATTTACTGCGTACCGCGACCGGCCAGGACCCAACCCTTAATGGTGACTTATTTTTGCAAGAATTTATACAACGTTTGCACGCTGACTTAAGGTTTCACGTTCGCTTCGCGAAACCAGCATCTTTCGAGGAGGCTTTGGCGGAGGCCGAACGCGTTGAAGAACTTCTCTCCGAAGCCTCGGCAGACCGACTCATCCATCCATCGCACCCTCAGGTGCCAGTGGCAGTAAGTTCAGTGGAACCTAGCGCTTCTACAGGTAAGTCCAGAGACAATCAGGTAAAATCCTCCTTGCTTTCGTCTGATACTGTGCCTCCTAGTCACAATAACTTTGCTAATAGGCGAACTTTTAGGCCCGGCCCAAACCGAGTACGCTTTCAAGAACCAAGACCACGACGACCTCCACGCATGGTATTCTCTGATATTTACTGTTATTTCTGTGGTGGACGAGGACACTTGGCTTCCGAATGTGCGACAAGGAGACGACAGCGGCAGCAGGTAGGTCAATCCTCTCGTAGCAGTTCTCGTGATGGTATGCGAGTACGTTATCGTTCTCCTTCTCCTCAATCGTCGTCTTATTCTCGAACTCCTAGAGTTTTGGGCCTTTCCCTTGATCATTCTAACGAGCTAGATCAAGCGCGTAAGCAAATTGAATCGCTCTCGCTTTCATTGAAGGAAAATCAAGTAGCGTTAGATAAATCGAATGCTCGCATTTCCGCGTTACTTCAGCGTAACGAAGAACTAGCTTCCTCAGCTTTTGGGAATCACTCTTTCCGGCGTTCGTCTTCTCCTCCGCGCGTTAACTATCTGTTCTTAGCCTCTGTGCTTCTGTCATGTTTCTTCATCAATGATGCTCATCAACCTGTCCACGGTTGTGTCCACGTGAAAAGTCAGATGCTGTTAATCGCATTCCTTTGACCTATAATTGCTCATATTTGGTGCCTAACTTAACCAGTGTTCCGGTTAGCACCTCTCTTTATGTTTACCGTCCTAATTCTAAGCGCTATGATACTCCAGCGGCGTTGTGTAAAATTGTCGAGCATACGGTAGTCTATTCCGTTAACTTTTTCGGTGCGCGACGTCAAACCCATTCCGAAAACTATAAGACTGTTTCAATCGAACACTGTAGGCAAATGCAACAACATCACAAATGTGAATATGGGTCGATGGTAGAAGTAGACGGAACCTACAAGACCGATAATATCCTCTCATTCGAGTATCCGTCAGCCCCATTTGGATGTTGTGTAGATCATCATCTCTCCGTAGTAAATTGTTACTTGGTTAACACAGCTGTTCACGCGCGTCATGGGGCGCTTTCGCCAGACTCTGCGGTAGGTAATATGCAACACTGCGCGTATAAGGATGGGTTTTGCACCCTTCAGGAGGGTTCGGTACTTTTATGGGAACCCGCGAGCGAACAACTTTGTGCTTACCTACCAATTTCCAAAATGCGAGGGCACCTTTTAGGTCACATTTGGATCAGCGACTCAAAAGAGTTCGCCTTGTCCTGGCGCGATAATAACCCTACCATTCAAGATTGTGCGCGTACATTAATTATTACGGATCAGGGGTATGCGGTCGCAAAAGTCAAACGGGTAGCGCGCTCCTCATCTCCCTCCGTAGGTATTGTTACTTCGAATCAGTTGGCAGCCCAGCTGCTAGCTGCGGAAGATTCTATCCAGGATTCTATGACGTCCCTCTTCCGCCATGCCTTGGCCTCTCTCTGTGATCGTACTAACATGTTGGCGTTTGCATTACATTCTTCGCTTAAGTCTGATGCTACGTATACAATACGCTCATTGCTTAAGCGAAGTGATATTGCGGCTACCCATCTTGGTGGGGGACTAGTCCAGTTGCATCATTGCATGCGCATACCACGCGCTCATTATCAATTTGTACCGTTTAACGATACCTGCTATAGTAAGCCTAGAATCCGTCTAACTTTACCTAGTGGTGCTTCATGGCTGACATTCATAGATCCGCATAATTGGGTAGTAACCTCTGACGTAGATCTCATACCATATTCTAGGGTGCGGCCGTTCCATCTCTTCTCGGTAGACCGAATATTCGTATATGACCCCATTCTTGACGTTTCTTCTAGCCTTCTCAATTCGACTATTCATGACTTATTACCAGCTTCGTTCGCGCAAACCATGAGTTTCGTCCCACCTTTGACTATATTCCACAATTTA